CTAGGAAAATCAATTCCCTATAAAATATTTTCTTTCCACTCATTTTCCAACTTTGCAATCAAACGGACCCTTAGTAGCCTTTATCTTTTTATTCACCAGTAGGCATAGTAGAGCTGTGCAGATGAAAGATGAGAAGCATTAATTTTTTGGTATCTATAAATAAATGTAGCAACAAATTGAAGAGTAGTAAAAATTGTTCACGTCGTCAATTCCAAATTTATTGAAACCAAGACTTAGCCCCCCTTTGGGCCACCTTATTTTCTCATTAAAATGAAAAATATGATTGTTATCCATCACATCAACATTTAAATTCAAATTTTCTATCTCTTGTGTGGGCCCAATAATGACTATATTTTTCATTATCATTCTACAAAAAGGTGGCTCAAACGAGGCCTTAGTTTGTTATTGATGAAACCAGATGTCTTTTGCATATATAGCTACCATAATAAGGCCAACAATGAAAGACCATTATGGTTTCTTCGTACAACTTCATATAGTGTTCCCACTTCTAAATAATTGTTCGCGTCAATTGATTCTCAGGAGTTCTAAAATGTGTGATTAACAGATTTTTTGCCGTCGTCTTCTCCCCCGATGTATCAAAAGCTAGAATCTACCGTGCTCGGTCTCCTCAAAAAATACCGCAAACTATTCGTAAGAACCTGCAAGGTTTTTCCACTTGTCAAAGAGCTGACACACAAAAAAAAAAATAAAAAAGGTAGTTTTTGAAAACCCTCATTAAACATGTTTGGTAAAAAAAGTTACACAAAGGTAACTTTTAAGCTCAGCAAACATGGTGAAAGATCACTTCTACTATTATGAAAGCTTGGCATACCTGTTGAAGGGGCTTGCCAACAGCTTTACCCTTGTAGCTTACGTGAAACTTCGACTTAGCCAACAAACCCTAAAAACCAACAATAAAAGCGTGTCAGAAATTAAACAAGATGTTATTCCCATAGAAATATCGATCATAATGTAGTAAACGAGGCAATAGTCTCTCGAGAAAGAGTCTTTACCTCTGTATTGAACTCTCCTGATTCGACAGCAACGTTTATGTCAGTAATAATCTTTAAAAGATCGACAAGTAATCCAGGACGATCTGCGGTCTCCACGTATAGTAAGCTGCAATATTGCATCAATTATGAATAACCCTCCATATATCAAGCTTTATTACAAGTCGTTATATGCTCAGTTCATCATAAACAAGCCCAAGGAATGTTTACGTGTTTTACCTTCGTTCGGGACCATCATCTTTAATACTGATACAAGTTTCCATATCCACATCAACCTGAAGGGAAAATAGTGAATTAAATAAAAATAACATACTGAATGATGTTCTATCTGAAAAAAACTTGTCTCATTTTCTCCATGTGATGATCTTCTCACTGAGGAAAGGCTATGCCTTAGCGCTATTTTAATCAATACTCATCTCAGGGTTGGACCAGATAACATTTTGGGATCATCCAAATTCTACACGTATATGGTTTGTTTGGTAGAGTAGACTACTTCAGTACTGAAAAGTACTAAAGAAGAAAAGAAGTTAAAATTTTGTCTATTATCCTATTCAATTATGTTAAGTACTACATAACAGACATGTTCACTCTGATTAAGCATTAAAAGATTTGAGGAAACTACAATTTTCATCCTCTTTCCGAAAAATGACATGCTATATATGTGGGCACACACACGGAGAGATGCAAACAAGCCAAGCCAAATTTCCAAGCTCCGATTTACTCCATAATGAGCTTTATAATGGAGTTCAAACATTTGATTTCCCAAGAATTCTACGACATATAAGCTCCACTTGAGCCACTAGATTGAGTGACTTCGTTTTTTTCTACATACTAATTTTTTTATCAAGTTATCGAGCTAAGCTATTGACAAACTATAGATGACATGTTTGATTAGGTGGATTGGACAGCGCTGGACAGTACAAAGAAGAAAAATAATCTAAAATCTTGTTCATTGTACGTTTAATCATGCTCGATACTGCATACCAAACGTCTCAATATGTTCATTGTCCCAAACATTTATATGCTGAATAAATAGGCCAACCATTACATTACAGCTCAATAGACACACCTAAGAGAGAGAATACAATGAATAATAATACCGTTTGATTTGGTGGCATGACACCAAATGCAGCACCCATAGTCAACTGAGCGCTTGATTCCTGAAAACCCAATTCAACATCTATAAGAAAGTTGCACAGAGCGGAAAGTCATTACACATTTATGTAATGAAATGGAAAAAAAAAACACTAATCGGGAAGAATACCGGATGATACTGAAGCAGGTTGTTAATGATTGTCAAACGAATTGCCTTGAGCAACTCGGGTTTATCCACCTTTCTACCTGTCGAACTGGACTCCACACCATCACAGTCACAAAAGTCACCCATCAACATTCCATAAGCTGATAAGATGAAAATTTAAGGACCCTTCTAGTTTGGGTTATACCAATTTGACACAGAAGATTTGGTGAGTTACATATTGTGTTAAGAAATTCTAGAGAAATCTGACTTAATACGTTGGATTTAAATACTATTTTCAGAAATTTTTGAGATTAGGGAGAAATAAATTACGCAAAGCTTAACATAAATTCCAAAATGCATCTAAATCAAAATAAACTGAAAAGGTGAGAATTGATACCATGTAGTTCTACAAATGAAGAGATACGGTAATTAAATAGAATTACTGAATACAAGAATGACTCAGATAGAAAGAATCTACAGCATAAACTTATGCTTTAGTGATAGCAAACTTGTTGTGCTTGCCAGATGAATCGAGGTAGACATTTCCCTTGACAACATTCAATCCGAGATTTTTAAGTGCATTCATCTTAATTACATTCAGAACATAAATTATACTCAGCCAAACTAATGCAAATAACCAAATATAATTATTTTCAAATATAACAAATCCAAACTCGGAAATCTAGCCAATAAACTGAGCATTTCAAAAAATAAATGGGATAATGTCATACAGTGTTGAGAAGGGCGCCAAGGCAGTCTCCAAAGGTAATTTCCACAACAGTGGCATCGGGGTCTGAATCTTGATCTATTATAACTACAGGAGTAGGAACTGTACCAATTTCCCGATAACTTTCACCCTGCTCTGTGCATTCCAACAATCAATGAGAATGGTTGCTAATAACAGTCATATGCATTACATGAACAGAAATTGATACCTCCATAGCTGTGGTTGGAGATGCTTTTGGTATATTCAGACTCCTTAAAAACGAGGATCTGATGCACGGGAAATGTGTACAATTAACCCAAAATGAAAACCAAGTAAAAGCACTTTTAACGATACAACTAAACGAATCAAATGCCTTTCGTATATTCAGACTTGTTGATAATGGCGATCTGATGCACGAATATTATGAACTATTAAAACAGTGAAAATCAAGTAAAGCACTTTTAATGATACAACTAAACATACCAAATGCCTCGAGTTATGCACTTCATCTTAAGAGGCAGAAAAATTATGCACATGATCATGTCTTGGTTGTTAGTAAGAATTTGCAAGTTGAACATAATTGAATAATGTTCAACGAAAAATTAGCCAGTCCACAGGTTATGTTACAGCTAGAGAAATTTTATTGGGATTACTGCTCGAAATCACCCTTTGGATAAGCTGCAATCCAAATAAAGCCAGTAGTCAATGTGTTCGAAAGAGATCATTTTTATGTTCAAAAAAGGTTGTTAAATAAAAGTAAGAGTGCATAACTGATAACAAACGCATGATCCATTGATTAGTTAGTTAGTTAGTTAGTTAAAAATCAAATCTTGAGCAGGAAAGGAAATTAAACTTGTACAATTATAGTAAAAATGTCAAATATTAGGCATTTATTTCAATTATCAAATCCAACATTCTAATAGTAGATAATGCAATAGCAAATTAAAGAGTTCAAGTTAAACCCTAAAACCAACAAAAAAA